GAGATACTCAGATTTCAGTCTTCTCAGTAGCTAGGATTACAGGTGTGCACAACCAGCACCTGGTTTCTACATATATTTAATTATTGTAAAGAATTTGCAAAAAATTTACTTAAGTTCCTACTTGATAAGTCAGAGGTGAGAACTACATTAAAAAAAAACAACATTGGTCTCTTGTACAATAGCAATGACTAAAATAAAGGGTGCCAAATTTTTGGAGAGAGTCTTGTTTAATTCAGTATATAATTAAAATCTCATGTAGCTTTATTGGTTTTAGTATCCAGCAGAGAAAAAATATTGAAACTCCAAGAGATTTTGAATTAAATAGCTACAACAGTTTTGTTTTATTAGTTCTAACTGTGAGGAAAAAAAATCATAAGGACAACTTTGAAAAAATCTAGTTCTTTTAGAGCCCCGAATGACTTTTAAAACAATAAAACAAACTATAAAACCTACACAAGCAATATTAAAAATTATGTAGTTCAATAAATGTGACATTCAAAATGTGGTTGTAATTTTTTTTTTAACTACAGCCAAGTGAATGTGGATCTGATGACTTTTTTTTTTTTAAGGCAGTGCTGTATAGCTTAACAGAATTAAGTGCTTCGATTTGTTGGTGGGGATTATGTAGTGGAGCTGGAATGCCTGTCTATGGCTTTTAAGATCTCTACCTACTTTCCAGGGTCTTCCACTGCATAATAAAGGAAAGATGCTTCCTTTATTGATGATTGTTTAATAATACTACATTAGTAGTATTTCTAGCACTTTAGCATTTATTTTTGGAAAGTTAGTAGTTTTAGATCTCTTTGGGTGGTCACTGAATTAAGCACAGAATCAGCTACCACAAAATCACCATTGTGAAAGACTGGCTAGAGATTTCTGCAGAGGAATTAAATGAACCGTACTGATCATCTCCGTTGCTAATGAGATGGATGGGGCAAGACAAAGGAGAGAAAACATAAAGGGGGAGGGAGTATTTGTGAGAAAAACAATTCATATCTGATTAGTTCAAAATCATTACCTTGAGGGCTGGGAAGGTGGCTCAGTGGTAGAGCGCATGCCTTGCATGCCTGAGGCCCTGGGTTCGATTTCTCAGCACCATATAAGCAAAAAGAATAAAAGCCGGAAGTGGCGCTGTGGCTCAAGTGGTAGAGCACTAGCCTTGAGCTGAGGGACAGTGCCGAGGCCCAGAGTTCAGGCCCCACGACCGGACCCAAAAAAAAATAAAAAAAAAATCATTACCTTGGAAAACTCAGATATGATTTTTTTTTTTTTTTTGCCAGTCCTGGGGCTTGAACTCAGCCTGGGCACTGTCTCTAGGCTTCTTTTACTCAAGGCTAGCACTCTACCACTTGAGCCACAGTGCCACTTCCAACTTTTTCTGTTTATGTTGTACTGAGGAATCGAACACAGGGCTTCATGCATGCTAAGGCAAGCACTCTACCACTCTACCCAGCCCCTGACTTTTCTTTGTATGGGACTTGAACTTAGCCTCGAGTACAATGCTTTTTCACTCAAGGTTGGTTCTCTACTTTGAGCCACCGATCCACTTCTAGCTTTTGTTGCTGATTATTTGGAGATTAGAGTCTCTCAGATCTGTCTGCGCTGGCTTCAAACCAAGATCCTCAGACCTCAGCTTTCTAGGATTACAGGTGGGAGCCAGTGGCACTTGGCTTCAGATACAACTTTTTGAGGCACATTTGGACTTCAGATAATAAATGCCCCTTTTCGGTCCCCATTAAGCTACATGATGAGAATGAAGACTGGTGGAGCTGGTGAACATCAGCTCCCTTCACTGGTGGTTTCCAAGAACAAGGCATTAGTGAGATTATATGCAGACCTAATGAATAATTCAAATATTTTAAACTTTTAAAATGTAAGGTGGTGAGGGCTGCTGGATGTGTGGCTCACTCGTAGTGCACCTGCCCAGCAAGCAATTTCAAATCCTAATAAATCCTAGTAAAAAAAAGTGAAGGAAAGTGGAGCTATGGCTCCAGCGGTAGAACGCTTGCCTTGAGTTGAAGAGCACAGGGATAGCGCCTAGACCCAGAGTTGAAGCCCCATAACCGACCAAAAAAAAAAAAAAAAAGTAAAAAGTGAGGGTAAAAAACCAAAAGGTAAAAAATCACTGATTTTTTGAAATTTTTATATCGAGAACTTTCGAATCTACAGAAAAGTTGAAGTTATAGACAGCCCCACTGTATTCTCTCCAATTAATAACTCATCAACTAATAACTTTTATCTCCCTCTTTATTCATGTCTATATTTATGGATATATATATATGTGTATATATATATATACATGAGTAAATACAAGTGTGTGTCATATATGTGTACGTAGAAGTATTTGAAAGATATCATGACCTATCATCCCTAAATATTTCACTTTAGTCTTATTTCCAATGAGAATATTTTCCATTATAACACCATCAATATTACACTGAAGACAGCATTAATTTGGTCATCTACATACAATTCATATTCCCCAAAATGTCATAGTTTTTTAACCCAGAATCTAATCCATTGGGATATTACGAGAAATCCTAGCCTTTTGTGTTTTACTCAGTATTTGTGGTGGCCAATGGTGCTCTCTTCTAAGGAATGTACTAAATAAGTGGAGTCTTCTGACTTCAGCAAATCATCTACATTTGTACTGGCATTTTTCTGGTTCCAATCTTCTCATCCACCTTTTACAGGAGTATTCTTATGGACTCATGAGTGTATTCTGTTTTATAATGTATTTGTGTGTGTGTGTGTGTGTGTGTATGCTGGTACTGGGGCTTGAACTCAGGGTGTGGGCATTGTCCTTTATTCCTTTCAAGGCTGGCACTCTTCTAGAGTCACACCTGCACTTCTGGGCCTGTTCCGTGGTTCATTGGCGATGAGTCAGATCTCAGCCTCCTGAGTAGCTAAGATTAAAGGCATGAGTCACAGGTGCCCAGCTGTGAAATGTACTTTTGAAGTTTAAATCACTCCATGTTTGGCTAGTAGAAGCTTCAGCTATCTTTCCAGTTTTTGACACAAGACATCTTTGAGCTCATCTTCTGCCATTCCTGCCCTAGACCTAGATGCAGCCACTAATTCAAGGACTTATTTACACTGTGAATGGGCCACATACATGGTTTAATTTTCCAAATATTCATTTTCCATCCATAGGCAGCCAAAGTTATTTTCTGTTATGGTTATCCCTCCAAAAATAGTTTATGTAACAACAAACTGATATATCATATGCTCCACCATACCCACACACACCCTCCTCAGATTCTGGTAGATACCTATGAATTCATCATCTTTTTTTTTTGCAGGCCCTGGGGCTTGAACTCAGGGCCTGGGCACTGTCCCTGAGCTGCTTTTACTCAAGGCTAGCACTCTACCACTGAGCCACAGCACTACTTCTGGCTTTTTCTGTTTATGTGGTACTGAGGAATGGAACCCAGGGCTTCATGGATGCTAGGCAAGCAGTCTACCACTAAGCCACATTCCCAGCCCCTGAATCCATGCTCTTAAGTAGGAAGCTTTAGGCTAAGTGCCTTTTGTTTTAGAGGAAACAGACCCAGGGTGATGTACTTGTCCAAAGCTGTGTTAGCTAAAACTTTCACATGCTGCTCTCTGGACTTGGAATGTTCTCTCACAGTCTAGGCTTTCCAATATCCCCTCCTTCTTTAATGCGCCCCTCCCTACCTCCACTAGGAGCCGGCTCCTTGTTATATAGTTCCAGATCTTTGCTCACGTCTGTCTCCTTCTTAGCACAAATCTGTTATTGGGTTAATTTCATTTCCTGTCTCGGTGAGGACAGGGATCACTGCCTTCATACAACAAAACGTTGGAAGTGAACCTGAACCTAAGTCCTCCAGCTCCCAGTTCTCTCCTCATCCTACTTCTGCCCAGGATAGGTGAAGAAACTGTTCCAAGACGTAAATTAAAACAGACAGACAGACAGACAGGACATAATCCAGGGAGGTTTTTCAATTAATAAGAGGATTTTAGCAGACACTGCTCACAGCGAGGTGTGATGACCACAGGAGGGCGTCAATCAAGAAAATGCCCCTTTGCCCCAGAGGCGAGTGGAGCCGCCCAGGGACGCGGCCACACGGAGCAGCTCCACCGCTACGATGGAAAACACGTGCGAAACGGAGGACGCGCGGCTGTGACCCCCAGGGCCGGGGGGGAGGGAGAGGGATTGGGAGTAGGGTTCCCCATCTGTGCCCTACCGGGTGAAACAAAATTGCATCGCCTCGGCTTCAGAACCCAGGCCCCGCCCAGAACCTGTGGCCCGAGCACCTTCTGCCAGCACCCTAGGAAAGTGTCCGAGCCCCGGATCACCCAAAATGAAACCGGCTGCAGCGGCCCTGAGTTCCGAGCACCTGAAGTCCAGTCGTCGGTAAGCCGATGGGTGCATCTGAGGTACGAGGCTTGTTCTCGCTGGAGCCGACGGAAGGAAGCCAGCGCCCTCGACAGCGACGGGGTCGGGAGACGCCGGGGGGAGAAACTGTCAGTGCCCCCGTTATTCCAGCGAGCGCGCCGACCGATCAGGGAGGGCTCTCGGGCCTGCGACAGTGCGGCCTTTGCCAGCCATCTTTTCGCCCGCCGACGCCCGCGGCCCTCGCCTGGGGCCGGGCCTGGACAGTGCCCCTGAGGTTCCGCAGCGGTGCCTTCAGGCTGGGGGCTCCACGCCTGCGCTCCTGGCCGCGGCTGGCATTACACTTCGCCCAAGACCCTCGGCCAGCCTCGGCCGGAGGGCGTCCCGAGCCCGGTGTCTGGAGTCCTCCGTGGCGACGGCGGTGGCAGGGCACCCGACCTCGGCAGGATCCCCGGAGGCCCGGGGCCAGCCCGTCTCGGGGGCGGGGAGCTCGGACGGCGGGGGCGGGCCACGGGTAGGGGCGGGAGGTGGCTCCCGGGCCCCGCGCCATTGGCCGCAGGGCCGGGCGGCAGGAAGGGGCCAGCGAGCGCGGCCCCACCCCGCGGTCGGAGGAGCCTATCGCCGGGAGCTCGGAGCGCGGATAAATGTAGCGCCGCGGCGCGGGCGGGCAGCGTTCCGAGGGGCTGGAGCGCGGCGGAGCCATGCAGTACCCGCACCCCGGGCCGGCGGCTGCGGCGGGCGCAGTGGGGGTGCCACTGTATGCGCCCACGCCGCTGCTGCAGCCCGCACACCCGACGCCCTTCTACATCGAGGATATCCTGGGCCGTGGGCCCACCGCGCCCACGCCCACCCCCACGCTGCCGTCCCCCAACTCCTCCTTCACCAGCCTCGTGTCCTCCTACCGGACTCCAGTGTACGAGCCCACGCCGATCCATCCCGCCTTCTCGCACCCCTCGGCCGCCGCGCTGGCGGCCGCCTACGGCCCGGGTGGCTTCGGAGGCCCTCTGTACCCCTTCCCACGGACGGTGAACGACTACACGCACGCCTTGCTGCGCCACGACCCCTTGGGTAAGGTGGTCGGGTCTCGGCGGGGCCAGCCTCCCAGGGTGATGACGGGGAAGGCGCCACCCGGCAGGTGGCAGCGCCCGGGCGGCGGCGGGGACGCGAAGAGAGGCAATAGAAAGTTGTGGCAAAAGCTATTGAAAAAGTGGCCCTCGGGCGCGCGCGGGGACCGGAGGCGCGGGCCCTGGGCGGCGCGCGGCCGGCGCTGACCGCACTGTGACTCAGATTGGTTTTCCTGCGCCTTACCGGCGTCGGGGCGCGCGCGGACCTGGAACACACCAAGGGGCTAGTGGCAGAGGGCAGCCCTGGACACGAGTGTCACCTGGGTCAGCATCCCCCCTTCCCCTTAACACGAGGGACGGGGAAGTGGGCGTCGTGGCGCCCCAGGCCGATCGCTGTCCGGCCCCCGGGTGATCTCAGGGCTGGACTTGGTTCAACAAGCTTGTGCAGTGAAAGAGCCTGACCCTTTCCGTTCATACAGGAAATCTTGAGTTCTCGATAGGAGTAAATCTGGTTTCAGAAGCTGTTAAGTGTTTTCCTGGCTGCACGAAGCAGACCCTTCCCCCGGAGTAGTGCACGCTGCTGATTATTTTATCGACATCCTCAATACAGACAAATTCAGGAAACACTCGACTTCTGATAGCCAGGATCCGTTTTTCTGATATTGTTCATTTCCTCTGTGTGGGATGTGACTTTATGGCAGCTAAAATAACCAGTTGCTTCCTTTTTTTTTTTTTTTTGAGGCTGTTTTGCACCAGCCTGAAGCCTGACGCAAGCAAAATCTCGAAACAACAACAAGAAGACCCCAACAACAAAGCCAGCTTTCAAAGCGTTTAGACCCAGCCTTACGGACAGACAGGAGGACCCATTTCTCTTTGCAGTTAGGAAGGTTGCAGACCCAGGGCGCCAGCTTTGAAGCACAGTGCAGATGACCTGGGCACATAGAATATTGACCGCTTGTGCCCTAAGTGTATGCCTTTAGCAAATAAGTCAAGCACTGGGACTCCAAGTGGCCCTTGGCACCTTTGGGGTCTGAAGCCCTAGGGTAAATAAGAAAATCGGGAGCTTCCTCTGAGCCAGCAGGGTTTTAAATCAACTCTGTTAGTAGAAGGGACCCTGAAGACAATTAATATCTTACTTAACTTCCTGATATAAACCATATTTTAGCGCAGCCTCTGGCTCAGGCCTCCCTCCTGGTCCATCATTAGATTTGGGAGGTGCGCATGATAATACCTTTGTGTTTGAAAAGCTTTTCATGTTTGTATTTTTAAACTCTAGCCTCCAGGCTTGGGAGTCCCGGGGGCCCCAACGTCGTGGCTTTGATCCCCGATGGGGCCAAGAGCGAGACCCTCAGCGGGGTTGGGCCAGGGGCGAACATTTTCACGGAGCGCGCGCTGGGTTTCTTTGGGTGACTGCTGGGACCACGCAGGAGGAAGCAAAGAGGGTTTTTTTTTTTTTTTTTTTGAGATAGACCAACAGGAAACACATTGACGGAAATGTTGCCATAGCCCATGAGGTGGCTTTAACTGGCCGTCCCCGCCGGCTGGGTGTGAAATCAGAGGAGGCCACGACGCCCTCCCACCAGGATTGGAGGCATCGTGAGCGCGGCCCCACGCGGGGCGCGGGCCCACGCGCTTCTGCACAGCCGAATTCTGAGTGGTCTAAGCGTTCGGCTCCCCTGCACATTGAAATGCAGCTCACCCAGGGAGGGGACTGAGGGCTGTAAAACCGGTGTGCATATATTCCAAAGCGATTGGTAAAAGAGGATCGTGGTGTTTTAAGGATTGGATTAAGATTTGTGTTTGAAACCAGCCCTAGGGTGATAGTTGCCTGCAGAGCAGGTGCTCCGTGCATATGGAGATTAGCCCTGTAGCTTTGAGTGTGTGTGTGTGTGTGTATGTGCGGTTGACTCTTACGTGCTTGTAGGACAATGTGATTGTGATAGGAATGTATCTTGTTGGGTGGCTTCCCCTACTTTGTTACCCTCTCCCCTAATCTAGGCAGGGCTGGGGGCTGGGCTGCCCCGGCTACTCCAGGGCCATCACTAACCTCTTCCCTCTTTCTCTTGCAGGCAAACCCTTGCTCTGGAGCCCTTTCTTACAGAGGCCACTACATAAAAGGAAAGGTGGCCAGGTGAGATTCTCTAATGACCAGACCATCGAGCTGGAGAAGAAGTTTGAGACCCAGAAATACCTCTCCCCTCCTGAGCGGAAGCGTCTGGCCAAAATGCTGCAGCTCAGCGAGAGACAGGTAAATAAATGCATCTCGCATCCCGGGCCTCCTCCCCAATCCCTCTTCCCTCCATCCCCCCCTCCCCCCCCAGCGTGCTTCTAAGGTAGCCACCCGTGAGCACTGGCTGTTCCAATGGTGTCTGGCAAGGTGGTGACTGCTTTGCTTTGCAGCCCCCAATCTCCTTCCTCCCCCCACTCCCTTCTTCCCAGTCTCTCAGGATTTTGGACACTTGGCAAGTTTCCTTTCCTTCCCATAGGTGAAAACCTGGTTTCAGAATCGGCGGGCTAAGTGGAGGAGACTAAAGCAGGTATGGACATCGTGGTTCTGTTTCTATAGAAATAAATATTTGTATCATGTTATCTCAGAGCAAAGCCTGTGATGGGTTGTATACAAAAGTCATTTGAGAGCCTATTTAACCTCTTCACCTTGATTAAAAAGGCAAATAGTCCTGCTGAAATGCAGGATGAGTTGCTCAGGTGGCAGTAATGCTAAAAGCACCTAATGCGGTTCCTATATCAATTATGCCTGGGTTTTCACACACTGGCTAGTAAAACTCTGGCCTAATTGTTTTATAAACCCCATATGTTGTTTATCTAATTAACGCAGGAAAGATAAAGTAATTGACAGTAAATGACTTAAGCAGTTATCTTTGGGAGAAAATTGTTTCTTTTATTTACACAGCCATAATAAACCCTGGCAGAACTCAAGGTAAATGTAAAGACCTAAACACCTTTAAGTCATGTTTGCACTGTTTTTTTTTAGAAGAATTAAATATCAAAGAGTTTCAAAACAATTTTTCTGTCTAGTGCCACCTCTTAAAATAAATCTTAAAACATGTAGGAAAATATCCAAACCTGATTGAAAAGTAGCTTAAACTTTCTAACAGTCTTTCTTCAGTGACCTTGTTACGCAATATGTAATAAAAAAGCAAAGGCTAATTTGGTTTTTAAAGAAGCTCTATTGACTTAAAGCTAAAGATTTGTTTTTGATGTCCTAGTTTGGATGTTTTCAAAGTTATGTGAGAAGTGTTCATTTATACATATTTTGAAGCATTATAATATTTTGAAGCAGTAATACAAATAAGGAAATTTGATATTGGTTTTAAAATTTATTGGTCATTAAATACAATACATTAAATACTTTTTCATTAACTACAAGATGGTATTCCCCCAAACAAAAACAAAAACCATCTTGAAACATAAAATAAATAATGGTAACTTAATTATTCTAACATGATTCATTCTCCAACCTTGTGCATCTGCTTGTTACATAAGCTGCAAACTTGGAGAATATTTTTTAAATTTTATTTTATTGTAAAGATGCTGTACAGAGGGGTTACAGTTACATGAGTAAGGCAATGTGTATATTACTTGTAGATCATTGTTACCCCTTCCCCTGTTGTTCTACTATCCCTTCCCTCCCCCATTGGAGACTATTTTATAGTCTTGTTTTTAGAATTTTTTTGCAGTAAATCAGGTTTCTATGTAATGTTTATATCCTCTTTAAACAACCCATGATTAAAATTTCACTAGTTTAGTTCTTGTTCAAAAAGCTTGACTCTAGTTTACCAGGGACTTTTGAAAATAGTGGGTTCTATATAATATGGGAGTAATTTTTGAAAATCTGCTCTAGATTTTAAGCAAATTGTAGTCTTTTTCTTCTCAAATGGCGATATTTATCCACTTTTACAAATTTTGCTTGCCATGATTTATAGCCTAAAATATATTTATACATAGATGTTCATAAGTTTATTCTAGAAAATGAACAGATATGTTTCAATCCAATACCTGAGATTTTCTTCTTAATTCATCATTCAAGTTTTTTTTTTGATACTGAAGATTGAACCCAAGACTTACGCACAGTATGGCCCCCTCCCTTAACATTCTTCTTTATAAAATGTCTAGAAAACTGTTAATTGGCAAGATTTAAATAGTTAAGATATTGTGTATCTGAAGTGATCCAAGATTTCCTCCCCTAAACTTGGCCTCAAGATTCAATAAACACAATACATTTACACTTATATTCATGACTGGTTCTTAACTGGCTTAAGTTTAATCTTCTCAGATGTGCTGTAACTTCTTTCAAATGACAAATCACAAGTATGTATTTTCTGAATAAAAAGATTGATAGCTGAAAAAACACGATAAACTAAAAATGTAAATGATGGTGCAGGAAAAGAAGATATCTTGATTTTTTTTATTGTGAACATACTGTACAGTGGGGTTACAATTACATAGGCAAGATGAGTACATTTCCTATCAAGCATTGTAGCCTCCTCCTTTGTTTACCCTTCACATCCCTTCCCAGCCTCCCCACCCAGGACATCTTGATTTATATCTGCTATCTCCCCATATTTCATGATCTTACCGATCTCCATTTTTATTGGTTTCCTTCAGGAGAACCCTCAAAGCAATAAAAAAGATGAACTGGAAAGTTTGGACAATCCCTGTGAGCAAGGACAAGACTTGCCCAGTGAACAGGATAAAGGTGCTTCATTGGATAGTTCTCAATGTTCCCCCTCCCCTACCTCTCATGAAGACCTGGACTCTGAGGTTTCAGAGGATTCTGACCAGGAAGTGGACATTGAGGGTGATAAAGTCTACTTTAATGCCGGATAATGGTCACAGATGATCGACATGGTCTGAAAACTGGATTTGGGAATTAACATTCTTCACAGAAGAACTGGAAAATGGAAATCCATGATATTCTGGTGTTTTCTGGACACCCAAAACATTTGGTGCACTGGCTAACAAACCTCCATTGAAACCTTAATTTTCACTTAACAAATGATGTACATATTGTTTTTATGTTTTGATAAAGTGACTAATTTCATCCCCCTTTAAAAATTGTTTCTATTTATAAGAAGTAATTTTGAACTTGTTAAAAATTTTAAGTTATAACTTAAAGGCTTTACTAGTAAGGCGCTCGTGAATGACTGTTCTATAATTGTATTTACATTCTACTTGATGGAAAAGCAAGGGAACACTCTCCATCCAGAGGTGGGTCATGGAAAAAGTCCTCCTCCCCCATTTCAGACAGCCCATTACTTCTATGACATTCCTAGATCTGGGGCGGGGCGGGGGGGGTCTTCATAAATCCAAATCCACTTCAGTGATCTTGTCTGGAGGATGTTGGGTTCCTTTTGTAAGGGAAGAGTTAAAAAAAAAAAAGTGAAAACTCTTGAGCGCTTGCTTTTGTCCGGTCACTTGGGACCTGTTTGACCAAGGTGCTAAGGAGGGGAATACAGCCCCTCGGGCAGAGATACTGACTCACCCATGATTAAAATTAATCACAAGCTAGACTTAGTAGCTTAAGTGTAAGTAGATTGTAGATAATGTTTTATATCAAACAATGTCCATAACATGTACATAAAATGGCTCACCGTAAAAGAAAACAAGTCCTGTCCACAGGTATTTCTTTTTTTTAATGAATGACTTGTCTATAAAACACATGTGTCGGCGGGAAGGCCGAGCTGGGGGGGGGGCGTCTTACTATTTGGTAAGACTGTTAGCTGGAACGGGTTGGGGCGCTCGGGTGGTGGGCTGGGCTCTCCGCGGAGCCTTAGCCCGGGAAGGGGAGCTGGAACGCGAGCGAAGGCCTTTCTTGGGGTGCTTGCCAGACAGCTGGGCGGGTGTGTGTTTGCGGGAGGACCTCAGCTCCCCAAGCCAGGCAGGTTCAAGGCCCGGGCGCGGCAGGAAGCAGGACAGATCTCCCCGGCTGTGCCACGCCGTGCGGGGCGCCCGGGGCGCCGCGACCATTCTTCTGCCCGTCGGCCTTGGTCGGCGGGAGTCATCGGCGCGTCCTGCCGCGGCCGCCGGGGTCCCGGAGCCCGCGGCTCGGAGCCGCGCTCGGGGAGCCCGGAGTTGGCGCCCTGGTCCGCGCTCACTGCGCGGGTCTCCCGCCGCGGCTCAGGCTCGTAGTCCGCCCCGTCCCTCCATCCACTCCGGCCGGACCAGAGCAGCGATTTGCATTTCTGCCGGTTCTCAGGTGCTGCCCGGGCTGCCGGTGCAGAGCACTTCCCCAGGACGCTGCCCCGGGACCAGGCTGGTGGGACCTGCGCTCAGCCCGCCCTCCGCCCTTCCCGTAACTCCTGCCTGCGCTGGGTCGGGTCAGAGGTCACCCACCCAGGTGGTGGGCGAGAGGTCTGATGGCTGGACCCAGGGTGGAGGGTCCAGAAAGGCTCATTTGGAGGGGGGCGGGGGAGAGAAGAAGCTGGATTTAGGGCTGAACTTCCACCATCCTGGGTATTGCTAGTCTGTCTTCAGCTACCTGCCTAGCAGATGTTTCCCTAAAAGGAAGGTGGGAGAGGCCTAGAAGCCCCCTCCTTTAGCCTAGGTCTTCGCCAGCTACTGAAGAGTGGGTGAGAACCTATGAGAGAACCCTACTCCTGGCCTGGCAGAAGAGGGCTGTGACACCCCCCCCCCTCGAAATGGACATTCAGACAAAGAGTAGAAAGTCATTGTCCTTAAATGCAGCAGTGGTATTCACTGGACACTGTGTTGAAGAGGAACTATACAACTTGTGCGTGGAGATGCCAGGGAAACACTGGGAGAGAGGGAGGGAAGGGTTATCCAAAAAGAAATGTACTCTTTGCCTGACTTATGAAACTGTAACCCTCCTGTACACCTACCTTTATAATAATAAAAATTTTAAAAGTCATTGTTAGTTCTCACATCCTGCCTCCTCCTACCCCCAAAAGGCAGGAATTGTGAGTGAATTAGGTTTCTGAGAAAGATCTGAGTACTTAAGCAGAGAGGTAAGGATAAGCCTGTAAGTTTAAAAACCTGTATTAGAAGTGTGTGTGGGGGGGGGCTTGAACTCAGCCTGGCCCCCTGTCCCTTAGCTTTTCTGTTCAAGGCAAGAGCTTTACCACTTGAGCCACACCTCTACTTGTTTTTGGTGGGTTAATTGGAGATGAGAGTCTCACCAATTTGTCTGCCTGTTCTGGCTTTGAAGAACAACCTTCAAATCTTAGCCTCAGCAGCACCAGAGTTCTTGATTTCAGTCCTCCCATGTGGACAACAACAAAAACATTGCACACAACCCATCCATCCAATTCTACAATTCCCAACCCTGTTCATGCTCCATTGTTGTCCCTTATTCCTCCTATCTCCTCAGTGTTGGAGCCCAAAGTAGACATCCAGTGGGAGAGTTCACCTTCCCATAAGCTGCAGGCTCCAAACCGGCTACCAGGTCTCAAAGGTCATTACCAGCCCCCTCTGAAAATCAGACTGTCTGTATCACAGTCTTGGAGAATGGGACGCTTGTGGCCCTAATATTGAATTAAAGTAATCCTGAAATCTTTGTGTGTCACATTGTCAGAGATAACCTCTGGTTAATGTTTATTCTTGGGAGTAACTGTATCACGACTATGGAGCAGAGAAATACCAGCATATGTATTGATTTGACACTGGAAAAACTGGGGGGGGGGGTGAAGTCTTGTTTTAAAGTAGACAGCTCCAAAACCAGACTGTGTCTTCTAGTTTAAAGCTAACCCTAGCTCCCTTCTAGTTGCTCATGTTCTACATCTAAACAAGTCCTTAAGAAGGAAGAGCATGGAAGTGGAAGTGTGTCTTGAGCACAGCCTTGAGCAGAAAAAGCTAAGCAAGAACACAGGGTCCTGAATTGAAGCCTCAGTACCACCACGCTCCCCCCAACAAACAAACAAACAAAAAGAGCAAGATTGTTTTAACTGGAAGGGAGACAGTATTCTCAGGCCACAGGTTGGCATTGCCTCTTCTACAGTGCCCATTACTGACTGCCAATGAATATTTACAAATTCTTCCTACAATCCAGGCATTTTTCATTTGTTTGTCTTTTGGCTATTTCATGTTGAAGCAGCATGTATGACCTTTACAACACAGCTCCTGTCTTGTTTTTAACTCTTTTTATCAGGAGATTCAACTTGAAAAACGGTTATCATTTAGCAGAAAGACAAATAGAAAAGCACATTTTTGTAAGCAAAACGTTAATGATTGGAAGAATTGCCCGAATTTCGCCATGACGGCGTGTGATTAATCCTCTGGGTCATGTACTTATACTTGAAGTTATTCAGTTCGTTGCTCTTTGATATTGAGAAACCTTTCTAAACTTAATAGGATATTGATTTTGCTGGATGATGTACTTTGACTTGTTAAACAACATCACTTTTAAGGGATGACTAGCCTGTTGTGGATTATTTTATTTAGGGAACTATTGCGTAAGGTTTCTTTTTCTTTTTATGGTTTTCTCAGAGTGAAAACTGATAAGCCATCTTGTGGGACAAGAGGAAACCATCTCTGATAGTGAAAGTACCTATTCTCTTTCAACATTGCTGACAAGATTTTTTTGTTTGTGGTTTTATTACTATGAATGTTTCTCTTAGTTAATGGAAGGCAGGGATTCAAGAAAATCTAAATATTTGGGCTCGGGAGAAAAATGTACTTTGCTAGGAATAGAAGGCACTTTTATTCCCATTCCAATTGTGTTGCCTTGTGGAAAATACATAAATGCAGAAAACTCACCATTTAAATGTCTCTTCACAACTCCCAACAATGAACAATCCTGTGAATCTGAGACTGGAGGTATTATTTATGTAAATACCCATGATATGGAACAGAAAGGCATATTTACTTTATGAAATTCCTAGCTGGAACCTGTGTTATTAAGCTAACTTTGTTCCTCACTACGTTTTTGGTATTGTTAAATGCAAGAAGAAGCACTTTGTAGAGGACTCCCACACACCAAACAAGAGTCCACAGAGCAGCAGCTACTTCTGTCCCTCAGCACCTCCAGGGGTGGGCAGCTCACCTGAGAGGAGACATCAACGCATGGAACTCCAAGGTTTCCATCGCCATTCTCTTCTTTTGTGTCCCTGCTCTAATTTGCAGCTGGGAGAGGGCGCGCTCTCTAAACAATGCACAGGGCAGGGTGAAGGAGACCTTGGAGTTGGCAAAGGCATTTCCTGTCTGCGGAGGATCTTGAGTGTGGAGCGTTTGCTTGGAGGTTTTCAAGGCAAAGACCACTTTCCTGTGTAGCTGTTTTGAAAAGAAAAAAGCGAGAGAGCGAAAGAAAGGAAGGAAGGGAGAAAGAAAGGAAGGAAGGGAGAAAGGAAGGAAGGAAGGGAGAAAGGAAGGAAGCAAGCAAATAACAAAAAAAAAAAAAAGGAAGGAGAAAGCCATTGGCAATTTCAGGTGGTTTTTCAGATGAAAGCCAGCAGAACCACTTCCCACTTGAAAACTGTTTCATGCATATTTTCTTTCTTTTCTTTTCTTTCTTTCTTTCTTTTTTTGGTCAGTCATGGGGCCTGAACTCTGGGGCCTGAGCACTGTCCCTCAGCTCTTCAGCTCAAGGCTAGTACCCTATCACTTGAGCCACAGAGCCATTTCTGGCTTTTTCTGTTTATGTGGTGCTGAGGAATCGAACCCAGGGCCTCATGCATGCAAGGCAAGCATTCTACCACTGAGCCACCTTCCCAGCCCTCATGCATATTTTTTCTTTTTCTTTTTGGTTGGTTATGGGGCTTGAACTCTGGGCTTGGGCGCTGTCCCTGCGCTCTTCAGCACAAGGCAATTGCACTACCACTTGAGCCACAGCGCCACTTCTGGTTTTCTAGTGGTTTATTGGAGATAAGAGCCTCACGGACCTTCCTGCCCCGGCTGGCTTTGAACCGCGATCCTCAGATCTCAGCTTCCTGAGTAGCTAGGATCTCAGGATGAACAGGAAAACGTTAGTGAAGGAGTCCCTCCCATGCTCTCATACTCATAAATGCTTGCAGGAGATGATAATTTTGTTTCAACTTTGTATTTTTCTTTTACAGTTTAATTATGTGCCTTTCATCTTCCTTCCTTCCTCTTTCTTTCTTTCTTTCCTTCTTTCTTTTCTTTCTTCTTGGTGGTTCTAGAGATTGAACTCAGGGACTTGTACTTGGAAACTCTACCA